GGAGTCACCGCGACTGTGCCTGTGAAGAATGAGCTTGGCCCGCGTGTCCCTACAGCCCTCGCTGACGTAAAAGGGCAGCATTTCCCAAGCGTGTGTCACAGTCGAGTGACAATGTTTGCACACCTTACAGTGTCTCTACTTCGGGGGTGTTGCTTGAGTTTTCATTGTTCTGATTAAATCGTAAAGTGTTAGTTTTTGTGTTAAAAGAATAGGCTGTTCCAAGGCCATTCCAGGTCTTGAAGAAGTCTGTTCCAAGGCTACTTTCGAGAGATGAGTGTTGTCCCCAGTCATGCGGCTCTGTCTTCCTCTGCGGCGTGACAAGTAAACCCCGCGTCCCCGCCCGTGTTTGCGGGGAGGCGGGCTTCCCGGGGCTGCGCGCCGCCACCTGAGACTTTAAAAACCAGTCTCTACACGTCAGCTAGAAAAAATGTATTCCTAACGTCTCAAGGAAAGGCGAGTGACTCTCTAGAGGACAAAGGAAGATTAATCAGCCTCCGTTTCTCTCGGATTTCTTTTAAAAATTCGCATTTCTGTTCCTTCGGTCTTTAGAGAGTCTATTTTAAATGACCTACTTTTAAGCCGGCTTTCCGTTCGGCGTGTCGCGCTGGGATCCAGCCGACTTAGAAGGGTCCCATGGCCCAGGACGTCCTCCTGAATGCACCCCTTCATTCCCGGTGGCTCCGACTGGCGCAGGCTGCGGTCTCCAGAGACCGGACTCTCTGCGCTGGGAGGACTGTGGTGGAGAAGAGCACACGCGTGTTCCAGGCCTGAGCGTTCTCTGTTTCTGCGGTGGCTACTGCTGGGTGTCACAGTCCCTGCGTGTAGGAGAGGGGCCACAGCCCCCGAGCTGACCGGCTCCTGGGACGGGTCTCCAAAGCAGTAGCCGCAGGCGGTCGTCCGCCGGCTGCGGAGTGCTCTGGGCAGAACCCTCCCCCACCCGGCCCCCCGTCTGTCACCGTGGGTCCGGGCGCACTGCTCCCTCTCTCAGGAAGCTGCGTGCGTGGATCTGGGCGCGGCTGCCCCCCTCCCCAGGGAACTGCCCCCTCACACGGACCAGCCTTCCTCTGTCAGACCGAATTCTGGGGTGCAGGAGCCCTTGTCCCATCTGGGGGCGGAGAGGCTCCTTGGGGTCACGGTGGCTGACTCAGTCCTGTCACCCAGAAGCCGGCCCCGACTTTGACATCGAGAGTTGGGGTGAGATTCCAGCCCGCCTGTTTAGAAGACCGCGCCGGCCCCGATGGCGCGGACGCTGAAGGGGCACTCGGACTCAGTGCTCAGACAAGGGTGCTCCCCAGGGGCCTCGGAGGCAGAGGCGGGCTTCCTGGGGCCATGGCCGCTGAAGGCCGTGACAGCTGCAAGACATCGCTGGGAGGAATTTTAAAAGACTGAAGCAGACGGACAGGCCCGGGAGGTGGATAACAGGCGGATCGCAGGACTCCGTGTTGTTCGGATGTCCGTTATGAAGCTGACAGGTGCCATTCCCGCTTAGCCTCTCACAGGGTGCCGTGGACTCCCTGGCTGGGGTCGGGTCCCGTCTGAGGCTTGGCTGCGGGCACGCCTACCTCCGAACTCTCCCAGGGTGTCGGCAGTGCTCGGCTCCTTGAGGTTACAAGACTGGGGGATTCGTTTTCTTGCCGGTTCGAGCTCCTCGGGGGCTGTCTGCTGGGGGCTGGCCGCAGCTCTTAGGAACTGCCTGCATTTTCTTGTCATCTGGGGTTCTTCCATCTCTCTCTCTCTCTCTCTCTCACACACACACACACACACACACACACACACTGAGTTTTTAACCTCCACTTCCATTTCAGCTCCACGGTGTACCTTCCAGTCTTCCCTCTTCCACACTGAGAAACACGGGTCCCCTTTTCTGTGCAAACGCACACGCCGTCCGCTCCGTGTCCCCAGGCCCAGCACATACAGGCTCGCTACGGGGAACGGGAGACACCGTGCGGTGTTTGGAAAACGAAACGGCCAGGCAGGAAAGACGCCGCGCCTCCATGACTCACGATTCGCATTGCCCTTTCTGGAAAAGCGGGGGTGGTGACCCTCCGTGGTTCCGCTCATGTCTCTCTCCACCTGTGCAACTGAAACCTTCGGCAGCGGAGGCGGAGAGCGGCGGAAGGCCCCGCAGAGTCCGAAAGCCGGGCTGGAGGGCGGGGCTCTCGCTCTCGCTCCCCAGGGTCACGCTGGGGGCCGGCCGCACGTCTCGGCTCGCCGGCGTGTTGTGGACAGCACTAACAGCATTTTCCACGTCATCTCCGGGCAACATTTATTATTTTCTCACGCGTGCAATCGTTCTACAAGAAGAGTTGGGGTGACCGCGGCAGCCCACGGCAGTCGGCTGTGACGGGAGGCAGTGAGCAGGTGGAGCTAAGGGACGAAGCGGAGTTGGGAGGCGCGAGGGGCCGGTCTGCAGGAGGCTTACCTGCCGGCGCTCTGGAGTCACGGGGGGTGCCGTTACCCCTGGGGGCTGAGGTTCGAGAGACGGCAGCGTGAAGCTCCTCAGCCCTCGGCCCTTGGTGGTGTGCTCCTCGGGGTCCCAGGCCTCACCGCTGGCGCCCAAGTCACCACGCGCAGGCTCAGCTCTGAGACGCCCTGCGGACGGAGCCCGGGGCCTCTTTCCTTTGCGGTCACTGTTCGGAACCCTTCCTGGCCTCTGGTCGCTAAAAATCTGGTACCGCTGACCACGCAGTGCTTCCCACCCTGCTCCCTCGCCTGCTGGCTTCGGGCTGTGGCGACGACGCGTCTGCCACCAGACAGTTTCAGAGAGACCGAAGTCACGGGAGGACAGTTGTTTAATGCAGGAAGCATCACCCATGGTGTTGAGGAACTGGAAGACACTTTAAAAGTTCTCATGTTATCTAGCCCTGGCTGGCGTAGCTCAGTGGATGGAGCGCAGGCTGCGAACCAAAGCATCACAGGTTCGATTCCCAGTCAGGGCACATTCCTGGGTTGCAGGCCACGGCCCCCAGCAACCGAACATTGATGTTTCTCTCTATCTCTTTCTCCCTCCCTTCCCTCTCTAAAATAAATAAATACATCTTTTTAAAAAGTTCTCATGTTATCAACTTAATTATGTGTTTCCTGCGTAGTGGTAATTTCTTACAGTGTTGCCAAGACCATCATGAAAGGAGTTCGTTAAAGTGGGCAGCAAAATGCTGTCGGTGCGCACCACTGCTAATAGTGCCCTCCACGGGCTGTGGGGCCTGCGAGGCCGGGTTTAATTCTGCCACAAAAAGAAAATAGTTCACTGAGAAAACACCTGACTGAAAGAGCAGGTGTGGTGCAGGGGTAAGAGGACAAAGCAAAGGGAGACACCAGCTCCTTTTTGTGTCCTTTCGAAGGGATACATTTGAAGGGGGGGGGTGAATTGCAGTGAAGGACAATGGACGAAATACTTTAAAATCGGTGGGGCTGCCTGCTCTGCCCTGGCCGGTGGGCGTGACCCCCAGGTCAGCGGGCTGTACAAAGAGGGGTCTTCCTTCCCGCCGTGGTTACCCCACTTCGCTCCTTTCTTTCCCAGAAAATCTTTCTCCAGCTCACGAAAAGGGGGTGTTTGATGCAAAGGCACTTAGTTTATATTTACTATTATTGTCGTTATTATTAACATGGGACACAGGGAAGGCCATGTTGGAAGTCACCCGCGAGCCCGTCCTGGTGCCCCCACTCCGCCCCCGGGCGTGCCGGGTGGCTGGGGCGCCGTGAACCGCCGCGCCCGCGGGGCTCCGGGGTGGTGTCCCCGCTGCTCCCAGACCCCAGTGCCGGCTGCAGCACCTGGGCGCACGGCCCTTCTTCGCCCAGGCCCCCGGAAAAGCGCCCGGGGTGGCAGCCCCTCCCCGTCTCGGGGGAACGTCCCCCGGCCACCGCTCTCGTGGATGAGTCTCCGCGTCGCGACCGCCCCTTTCCTAGAGGGGGACACTCGCGCACACACCCGTCACCTCCGCGCGACCCGCAGTCCCTCCGCTCGGCGCGCAGCGCACCCCAGCGGTCGCGAGCCGCCGCCCGGCCCCGGCCCCGGCCACCGGGCTTCCGGAGAGCTCGCCAGTCGCCGCCGCGGCCGCCTCGGAACCGGCACTTGTGAGGCCGCGGGAGCCGGGCCGGGCGGGACCCCTGGAGGCGCGGCTGCGGCTCCGGCCTCGCTCCCCGCACCTGGAGCCGGACCCGGAGAGGCGGGGCGGGGCTGCAGCCCGGCCGAGCGCCGGTGCAGCTCGCCGAAGCCGGCCGGACCCGAGCGAGGCGCGGGGGAGGGTCTCGAGGCCGAGTCCGCGGCTCCGGGGTGGGGGGTACCCCAGCAGGGGTGGACCCGGCCCCCCCGCGAGGCGCTGAGGCGCGCGGCGCGGGCATGGAGCGGGCCGGCCCGGGCTCCGCGCGGCCGCGGGACCACAACTCGGTGGAAGCGTGGCTGGACGATCACTGGGACTTCACCTTCTCTTACTTTGTTAGGAAAGCCACCAGGTAAGAGGAGGACACGCGGCCGCGCGGGCCGTGCGTGGAGCCCGACCTGGGCCGGTCCTTCCTGGCATTGTCCCCTGCCTTCACCATTAGCGGCCTCGGATCCCGGGCCTCCGTTTTAAAGTAGGTCCCCGGTCCGGTGACGGCGCGGAGATCGCGGCTCGAGGGCGCGCGCAGCGTTAAAACCCAGGCGTGGGCTTGGATCCAACTTGCTCTCAAAGTTCAAATACAGAAATAACCCAGCGCCCGGCCCCCGCTGCTCGCCTCCCGCGGGAGCCGTCCCCGCGCGCCCGTGTGCGCGGCCTCCTGCAGCCGCGTCCACCTCCCGGAGCCCCAAACCTCCGCGGCGAAACCAAAACAGCCCGAGCCCCTTCCCCGCAGCTCCGGAAGCACCGTTCCCGGCCCGGTCCCGGCGGCTGCGCTCCTCCCCCGTCCCCCTCGCCGGGGCCTGGCGGGGCGGGGACCCGGGGTGGGGGCGAGACGGCGGGGCAGCCCCGGGCAGCAGCGTGCGAGAGCCTTCCCGGAGTGAGTGCTGGTGCCCCGCACCCGCCCAGTCCCCCGCGTCCCGCCCGCCTCTTTTGACTCGCTCCTGCGCCTGAGGCGGCGCCGCGGACCGGGATCCGGGAGGGGTGGCGGCGTGGCGTGCAGCGGACCCCGGGGCTGGCGGGTCCCGAGCGGCCGAAGCGACCCCAGGGCCAGCTCTGCCTGGTCCGGAGCCAAGGCCGGCGGCCGCGGTGGAGGGCGGGGGCGAACTCTCCTCTGGGAGGCGGCCGCGGGCCTTGGGGCGCGCGTGGGAAACACTAGCGGAGGCTGGGGAGGAACAGAGGCTGGAGCCCAGGGACCCGGAGGGGAGCGGCGAGTGCGTGGCGCGCGGGTCCCCGAAGCCTGCGCGCTCAGTGCCGAGCCGGACGCCAACAGGGCTCCCGCGCGCGCTCGGGCCGACTTCCAGACGCCCCTTCGGGAAGGGTCGGAGCCAGCCCTGGACGCCGGGCCGGGGGCGATGGTGGGGGAGCTGGCCGGGGCTCCGTGCCGGGCTCCCACCCGCCGGCGCGCAGCCGCCGCTGTGCCGGGCGCTCCCCGCCAGGGGGCGGCGCGGCGCGGGGCGAGCGGGCGGCGGGGTCGCTAGGGGAGCCGGCTCCAGGCACCCGCCGCACCTGGGCGCGGCGTCGCCCCCCGCGCCTGCTGGAGTTCGGGGTCCACCGGGGCCGCACGGCCCGCACCTCGCCTCCCCACGTCTGCTATGCTGCCCTTTGGAGACAGAACGAGGTACCACCCGGCACCCCCTTCCCACTGCTCGGGGCGCGGCAGGCCGGGGCTGGGCGGCGAGGGTTGGGGGGGCGATGCTTCACTGGCAGTGGACCCTGGGACCCTCGGACCTCCTTGCCTCTTGCGGACTGTCACTTCGCAGCCTTGGATGGGGCCCTCTGCACCCCGTTACCCCTAAGGAGCGTCCAGTGCTGGGGTCCACCGAACCACTTTCGGGGTTTCTGGCAGAGGCCAGGGCTTGGGACAGATCTCCTGTCTCCGGATTCATTACTGTCCCCTCTGAAAGTCAGTCTCCGTCCCTGCTTTCGCCTGCGCCCCTGGAGACCCGCCCCACATCCGGGGCGCCTGAGGGGTGAGCCCGGCACGGAATGCGGGTTCGGGGTGAGCTCGGAGCCCCGAGGGGCCTGGAACCGCCCACTGCTGCGGGCGGCAGCACTCAGAGGCCCCCTGCTGCTCCCCGGCCACCTCCTGTCCCCTTTCCTGGCACTTGTGCGCCCGTCCCCCGGGGCCTGCCTCCGTGGAGTCCTGCGCGGGGCAGGGGACGGGGAGCGGGCAGGGGACCCGGCTGATGGTTTAAGTGTGTATGTGTGGGGGGGGGATGTGTCTTTCAGTCAGATGATCAACAGTTGAAAGAAAGGAGTCCTCTGTCTCAGGGAGCGGCCGAGATGCCCTTTTCTCTCCCTCCTGCCCATGTGAAGGCAGGAGCCGGGCACCCGTTTGGTGGTGGGTTTTACCTCATCGCGCCCAACCCCGCTGAGCTTCCTCCTGGAGCCTGCCGGAACCTGCCGGAACTTGGGAAGTAGTATCTTAGTGCAAAACAAACGGAAAATGTTGCCGCCTTTCTCTTCACGTTATGTATTCTCCCAAGCAGCACAGGATGAAAATCCTGATTCCCAAATTGGCGTTTGTCAGAGCAAAATGTAGGTCGTCCGAGACGCTCGGTGCGTTTCTCGGGCCAGGCTGTCCCAGCACGGCTGGTGTGGCCGGCCGGCCGCGCCCTTCTGAGGCCTGTGCGTCTGTCTCTGTGTGCACGCTCTCGGGAGAGGCGTCTGTGCTGAGGTCCAGGCGGAAAACGAAAGTATGAAGCAGCCCCGAGCACCGCGGGCCCTCGGTCTGGGGGGTTACAACGTGCTGCCGGGGTCGGCGTGCAGCCGGGGCGCTTCAGGACGCGGCGGGGGGGGGGGGGGTCCGGTTCGGGGTTGCACTGGGTGGTGCTCACTTACATGAGATGCCTGCAGGAAAAGAGAAAACGGAGAGGTGGGGAGTAGGTGCTTATGCAACTGCCGGGCTGCTGGGCCCGGGGACTCGCTCGGCTGCGGTCAGGGCTTAGCTGCAGGCGCCTTCGCTTCCCCGGCAAGATCTTGTTTTCCAACCAGGAGCCCACGCTCCTGGGCCTGGTCCCCTCTGTCCCCAGGCTGTGAGTGTCAGTGCACACCACAGGTGACTCGGGAAACCCACGAAACGACAGACTCCCAGCTCCCGAGGGTGCCCTCAGCTCAGCCCTCTGGGCCTGTGACCGGGCGCGATGGCCGGGGTGTCGCCACAGCCCTGGACGTGATCATGGTCCTTTCCCTGGTGGCGAGATCGGTGCCCGGGAGCAGACACCCAGCGGAACACAAGTTCCAACCTCCCCCCCGCCCATCCTCCTTGGGACGCCCGGGAATGTGGGCTGCCCTTGAGAGCCCTTGTTTGTGCTTTACACTGTGACTGCTCTCAATGACAGAGTTGAGCACCTCACTGAAAGCTGTGCAGTTTGCAGCACAGAAATAGATGCGGTTTGGCCCTGGCAGGGTAGCTCAGTGGCTTAGAGCGTCGCCGGGATATGCCAGGGTTGTGGGTTCGATCCCCAGTCGGGGCACGTACAAGAAGCAACCAACGAATGCTGGGATAAGTGGAACAAGTTGATGTTTCTCCCTCTCCCTCTCCCTCTCTGTCTCCTTCTCTCTCTAAAATAAAAGGCATAGGTGCTGTCTAGCAACTACAATCTATCTGTATATGTGAAGTTGAGGGTTAGTTCGACAATTGATAACATCGTCTATTGGCATAATAGATAATCCGAGACTTGCCACCAGAGCTTGTGGGAAGGCCCCGCCCTCCCTGTGGGAGACAGTGTTGCAGCCGCCCCACCGGCCGGCCCGGCGGGGGAGACTGGTAATGAGGGGCCCTGAGGCCCACCCAGCCTTCTCAAATGACACCTTCCCGGCTGCAGCCGCCACCCTCACGGCCGCTGCCCCCCTGGACAGCCGGTGACAGCGCGGCTGCCTGTCGTGAGCTGCAACCAACCCTGGGACCCCGCCGGCGCGGGGTTCGGTCAGGGGAGCAGCACTTTTTATTGCTTTATTTTGTGCGAGGGAGACACTTGAGAGTATTTGGCCTCTCCTGGAGAGAGGAGATACCACGTGAGGACGAGGTTTTTATGGCCGCGGGGTCCAAGTCCAGAAACAGAACTCCCGCGCCCCGAGGCCGACTTCCCGTCTGAGCGGCCGCGCTGGCCCGCTTGCTCACGCTCCTCCGGCCCTGCGCTCGGGGTCGGCTCTCCTCGTCCCCTTTCCCTCGTTCTTCTGTCATTGTCTCACCTCTGGAAGCTGTAGCATCTCCACGTTTAAGGCATTGATGTTAACACAGACGACGGACAGAATGTAAACGTTGCTCCCCACTCTTAAACCTGACGGTTGCTGTAAGGACGCAGGGATGGAAGCGGCATGATTTTCAGGCATTGCTGTGCTGGCACATTGCGTTAAACTGGTCCCCGGCAGGAAGAAGGATCGAACTCCGTGGGCGCGCACTCCGCCGGCCTGGATGCGATTTAGAACGCAGGGCGGGCAGGAGCAGGCGTGCGGTGGTGCGTGTGGGGAATCGTGCACTAACTAGTAGTACAAGAACACACTCAGGTGCTCACGGCTGGAAGCCTGCTCCTGCCCCACCCTGTGCTTTTATGGTGGTAATTCTGGGGCAGCAACGGCCTTTTTGCTGTATGGTTTACAGCCAGGGCGCAGCCAGCCAGCTACAAGCTGCCTGCCGGCAACCTCAGCGCGCCTGCACAGATCGCCTGGGAGACCACCAGAGCCCCCGCCCCGCCCCCGCCATGTGACGCAGTCTCTTCGCCCTTCCACCTCGGGGGGGTCCCCGTTTCAGATCCTCAGAGAGCCCGAGAAACTGGGCCGAGGCCCCTAAAAACGTGGTCGAATGTGCAGTGGCCGTGGGCCAGAGAGGGATCTGTGGAAATCAGACTCTCTGCTCAGCATTGCCCACGGGTAAATAGGTGTGCGGTACCTACCGTTCAGGAGTTCCCCCCGCCCCGCCCCACCCTGCCCCGCCCCAGTGAGTGACCTGAGGATGTGTAGAAATCGCCGATGTTTGCACAAGATCGTGTTTTCAGCACATCAAGGTGAGCAGTTGTTTGCATTTTAATTATATTGTGCAACAAAATTTCCTTTTTAAATAATTCTACCTAACTATATGATCTGGCTCTGGTCTCTTACGTTATTTCTTTTGAAGTCCTTGAAACTACGTCCCCGCCGTGAGGGTGGAAGTTGTGCCTTCTCCCCTCTCCGATGACAGAGAGCACGTCTCACCACCACATTCCCCTCGCCCCGGCTCTGAAAACACAGGTCATCTGGGAACTGTGGCTGACCTTTCTGGTGTGTTTTAAAATAGCTGGGAAAGAGTCCTCTCGTAACTGAAAAGGCTAAAAAGCACTGCTTGGTATTTTCTCGTTTACCCCCCAGCATGTTCCAGCCTAGTGATTTGCGAACCCCCGAGACCGCTGGGACGAGTTAGACGTGCTGTCTGTTCTCGGCGCCGACCGTGGGAGGCAAGCCCCTTCCCGGGACTCGGGCCTTGCGTCGGGGCTGCTGGACAATTGAATGAACGCCGCGCTGATGGATAATGGAGGCTTGGAACGTGGCTAATTTCTGACTTTAGGACGCAGACCAGCTGCTGACGAGGCAGGGCGTCCTAGGGAATCAGTTTGCGGGACAGACGTGGGCCCCACCGGCCCCGCGGCGGCCGACCCATGGGCCTGGTTACAGTGCGGCAGCGTGAGGTTACAGTGAGGTCACATTCCTGCTCCAGCGTGAGTGAGGCTCTCGGCGCGCAGAGCCTGCGGGCTGGGAAGGGAAGGGAAGGCGGCCTTTGACGGTTAGCTCTGCGATCCTGGGAACCAGCGGGCATGCTCACTTTGCTGCATATCCATCTGTAGTTTATGATGGACGTGTTTTGTTCATTCTCTCTGAACGGTGGGAAGTTACGCTTGTTGCCAAACAAATGCTGAGAGCAGGCCCGGCAGTCCGAGTGTTCAGTGCGTAAGACCCCTCCTGTGAGGCAGCCGGACAGGCTGGTAAACACAAGTATTCCTCGGGGTTTCAGCTCGAAGGGAACGTGCTTTCTAAAGACTTCCCTGCCGTCGCACTGCCCGAGCCTTCCCCTGGGAATCCGGACCGTGAAGGAGGGTGAGCTTTTTGCAAACCGTTTTCTCTGCGTAATTCCATCACGCCCGCACTTGAGAGGCCGCAGCACCCCTTCTGATGTCCTACCCTTCGTGATCATGACGAACAGTCAAGAATGATCGTTTCCGCTCTCTGTGGAGCAGCTGAGGTCACGGGAACAGGAAAGACCCCGATCTGCTGAGCCGATGACATCACCGGAGGGCGCACGCGCAGGCCGGACCAGTGCCTCTTCGCCGTGGAGGGGACCGCGTGACCCAGGACTTCTCAAACTTCAGTGGCGCGCCCCTGCGACAGGAAGACATTCTTCCCCGTCTCCGTGACAGCGGCTAGGAAGCGCTCGGTCCCACGTGACGGAAGCACAGCTGGGGCTCGTGCGGAGTGATTCACATGACGGGCGTCCCTGGGGGCCGGCGTGGCTCGGAAATGCAGCTGCTCAGAGGGTCTCGTCAAGACCCTGCCTGTCCCTCTGCAGATCTGTCTGACGCATCTGCTCCTCCTTCGGTCCATCCGTCCCTCGGCCGTGCGTCCATCCGTCCTCAGGCCCTGCGCTGT